TTGCTACTGCTTCGGCAAACCGAATAGACACTGTCTATTTGTTTGCTAATAACTTTAAAGGCTTGTGCAATGTCGGTGGTATTCCTGGGGTCAAGTAAATGCCGAGCGACTACACTCACTAGAGCCACTGTGCCTCCCAGACTCAAGTCCTTTAGAACGTACTCAGAAACGCGAAAATGTTCTCATTCCTCTGTACTCCCAATGTGCTTTGGCACGTAAACGAGAACCGCATTATGTACATAGCTCTTAAATTAAGCAGGCAAACCTGTCCTGTCTTTGTTAAGAACTATTGAGACTATGAATTATCAAAATGACTAATATGGATTGTTACCGTGTTAATCACTATAGTTGAAAGCGATAAGAAATTCCATCATTTATAGTGGAATATTAAGTTGCTACACAGATGAAAAATGTTGTTTCGTTCACTTATAAATAGTAATGAGTTCAGTTGTACACTAAACGAGTGATGAGCAAAAGGCAAACTATTATTTCAAAAATCTTTGTTTCCCAAATGAAATAAAGATGATACCGTCTGCGCTTATACATAACTTCATTATAAATCTGGTATCAATACAGGAACTTGACGGTGACCTTACAACTAATTAACAAATGACATAATGCATCTTTCCTTGTATTAGAAAGAATTAGACAATAATTACTACTTTAAGAATAATGATATAATTAGAGTGTATCCGTTCAGATAAATAACAGGAAATACAAAACCAGTCATTTTATAAACAAATTACCATTGATATCATTTAAAAATAGCTGTCACGGGAACTTTTACATTTGACTTTCCATGCTAAATATATTCATCCAGGTATTAAAATTAGAATCCACGGTTGACCTGGTATAGATTTTACTAATGACCATATATTTATGAATTTTCACAACTCAATTTTATTTGATTTACTCTGACTCCTAGATACCCTGGTCTTCGTATATATAACTCTAAACACACTATTTAACTCATTCATATAGCATTCTATTGCTTGAAAATTTTTACTGGAAATATGGTATCTAACTATTCAAATTTGTGTAGAAAAGGAATGTTTATAATATGTTCTGTTACAAAACACTTTCGTCTTTATAATGAGCAATGTTGTTTAACGTATGTTATTCAATTTATTTATTTTTTATAATGAATGAAAATTTTGATGCTCATAAAAGGCATTGAATAGTATCTTATGCATAGTTTATTTTATCTAAAATAGTATTGGACTCGCAGCAGCCATTACATAATTAGTTTTTTAAAGTGAACCTTCATAATTAAATACAATTAGATATCATATTCTCGTAAATTAAACTCATCAGAAGTTAGTAAATTCTATGAAGTTATGAGTCCTATAATATTTATTTAAGAAATAATTACAGATCTTATTTCGATCAGCCATACATTGTTTTTTTTTCTAGTTTGAGACGACGACAACAGACATGCAAACGACCTTCCATATGTAGAAAGATATCAAGAACATGTACCTAAGTACGATGCAAATACGACTCTATATGACAAGATCAATCAGGAAAAAATAAACCGACAGAATTCCACAACACGCAGTTTTGCATCAGAAAACTTAAAATTGAACTAACAAGACTATTCAGTTTGGGGGAACGTAGCTACAAAGAATCGTGAACACATTAGGCTCACAATGACAATATATGTCTTCATATCTTCATTAAGTCTCATACTAAAAGGCCATGTGCGACCGGCCTCAAGCAGTTGTCACTTCGGCTCTGCGGTCACGCTCCCAGGTCGTTAGGACCAACACTAATCCGATTTCCTTTTCAGGTTCCTCAATAACTACCCTTCCACAGTGTGGGCAGCCGGGAATTGATATCAGTCCTCATAGCCGTAACAGCACATGAGGCCAAGTTGGTCACATTCAAATGCCTCCTACACCTCCAAATAAATCTCTTATCTCCACGAATAACCCTTCTCACATCTCTTTATCACCTCGCACCGCTAGGGCAAACTATTCGAGTACGCGGAACGTTATTTCTGTTCTCCTGAAACCACGCTCTAAACTACACTTAAGAGCTTTCAACGTCCGAGCACTGTGCCAAATAGGACAACAGGCTTTTTTAGCTAGGACTTTAGAATCTCGCGCCATCGATGTGTGCTGCGTCTCCGAAACGCGCATACAGGATCCGAGTAGCGTCGTTCATTTCATCTCACCATGTCAAAGTAACGAACCAACTGAACTTACAATGCGTGTATTTGGAAGCCCTGATGCTGCTTCCCGCAGCCTCGTTGGCGTAGGTATAGCACTGAGTCCTAGAGAAGAATTAGCTCTCTTAGACTGGATCCCAGTAGACAGTCGTTTGTGCGCTGTCCGACTAAACGGAACAGTAAGGACTCGGAAAGATAGGGACACTCGTCATTGCCTCTTCGTCGTCTCTACCTACTCTCCTACTGACTGCAGCTCAGATGATGTAAAAGATGAGTTTTAAAGAAAGCTTTCCGACCTTCTCCGAAAAGCTAAGCGCTCTGATGTAGTAATAGTGGCTGGTGACTTCAATGTTCAAGTAGGTAAACTAAGCAAAAAGGAAAGACACCTGGGTGGATCTTATGGCGTTGTGGCTCAAAGGACAGATAATGGCGACCGTTTGTTACAGCTATGCTCAGATAAATGCCTGTTTCTTGCAAACACTAACTTTTTTACCCCATTAGCTTTACAGATTCAAATACTAAAACCATCAAAGTTCTCTACAAAAGTATTCTCACTAACTAGATCAAACATGTCGATCGATGTACTTTATCCAATTCAGTTAAAAAAATACACCACATTATTACAACAAATGGATTATGGAAAATGAAGTTATTTTAATTCTCATTTATTCATATGGAATCACTGAAATTCCGTAGTCTTCCTAAAGGAAAAGACTACCACCTTTCGAAAATTTGGATGAATACAAAGACTTCTATAAAAACAGAAATTACCAAATCTTTTTAAAACGTACTCTAGTAGACATAACTGAACCAACGGAGGAAAGTGTAAGACACTATGAATGCAAGTAGAGGTAATGTGCCGTAATGTTCTTCAAGCAATTACCACTTACTGAAGGGCAGTAAAATTGTACAAACTCGTTAGACGCTGTGAGTCACATAACCTGTGGTTGAGAGTGACAATCGTTTAAAACACCACACCACTATTCTTGAGCTTTTATTGTGTTATACGTATGGAAACCTCAACTCCCACGTCGATAAATCAGGATGGTCTGATCCACATGTAAAGAATTGGTAAATTAAGGGCAACATTCCTACAACTGAAGAACATATAGAATTCGAAGCAAACTCAAGCAACAAATAAATATATGGATTAGTGTTCAACGTTCGGTTTATCGCAAAAGCACTTGCAATCGTCTTTACTTGAATTTCAATAGATTCTGTCCAATCAGTTGTAAGAAAGCGTTAGTCAAAGCACTATTTTATAGAGTAGAAAAGATACGTTGAGAAATACCTGTGAGACAACTGCTGCTCACGGAAATTCATCAAAAAGTATAAAAGAAAACCCGAAAACAACAAGACAGATGTGACCACAGTCAGTAAAAAACCAATATTTATGAATCCGAGCTTCAAAGATGAAACGTCGCAAGCACATTCAACACGAAGCTTATCACTGAGTTAGCAAGCACCTACCCTGAAACCAAACTAGTAATCCTGTATAAACCATGCTTAATAACCCGATCTAAGGTCGACAAGTAACCCTTCCACTACACCATCAATTGTGTCTATAAATTTAAAAGAACTTGTCGAAGCAGCTACATTGGGCGAAAACAGGAGGTATACATTAGATTTTATGAACACGTCACGAAAAACCTTCAAACAACAGAAAGAGCCACTTTACATACCACAATCACTAAACATCTCTTGAACATAGGAACAATCAGTGTGTTTTATTCCTTTGTGGAGTTTCGAATTTATTTAGGTCATCAAAATTTGCAATCACTAGAAGGCATTTTGGCTCGTATCAGTGAAAAATAGTACTATAAGCAGGTAGGAAATAGCAATAAATGTGAGTTCTGTTTACCCCAAACACTTGCATGTATAAAGCAAATGTGTAAGTTAAAACATATTGCATTACACTCTTATCATCACTTTAAATTCTGATGTTAGTCAAGAATTCAATGCGCCCTACGATTAAAATTGTCCAGATAAGCAGGTGGGATTCAAAATGACAAGTTAATTCCTATCTTACATCTACACTAAGGTTCACACAAGATTCAGAAGGGCCACACTGAACTGATTAGGCGCAGATCAAGCATTACCACAGCCTTCGAATAGCATTTCCCATTCAAGTAAAACTGATCTCAAGAGTGACAGATGGATTTCATATCAAAAATTGTTTCGTATCCACTGATTGGAAAATGCAACCTTCAACATGATAAATATTTCGATTCTCTCTTCCTTTCGTTCCATAAAACCTGTAACAAAATATTTCATTGACGTTGTAGTGAGAAGCGGAAAATGAGAAAACCACTTTCCTCAATAGTATCGTCTAAGCATTTGAAGAAGATTAACAATTAAGTCGAGTGCGACCATGGTATTTATGAATAATCTAAAATGCACATCTAATATATAATTCCTGCTCGATCTTTTATAAATAATACCATTTGCTGTTAAATGATAGAGATCCTTACATTTATTTACAAATGTAAACCGTGCACTAGTAGATGTCTTCGCAAAAACTAGAGAAGAACTATTTTCACAGTCGTTCCCTGCTGTTGTTTAGGTCTATCTATCAAAACAACTTTCCACCCCAACGGAAGAGACTTCATCGACAGTAGTTCATAGCTTATGGGAAGAAAAAAGTGTACAATAAAAAGTGACTTATATAAATTACTGTGAAATATTAGTCATTTAAGCAAAATGAATAAAAGGACTCCAGAAAATGTTTTACTGTTTCGCATAAGTAAGACTATGACAATTTATGAGCTCAGTGGTATTTGCATGTCATTAATTTAACACAGCATTTAGTAATAAAGAATATTTTCAAATTCTACTTCTGACTAAATGATACCCATTCGTCGATAAGTGCTTCCGAAGTTTTCCACACATGATCGCAAATTTCATCATTTAATGCTTGGGAGTTACATCTGCGTGGCCGACACTCAGAATAAAATGCACCAGGAATGAGATTGTTATCAAGAGCACAAAATACTGTTGTCTGAGCACCTTCACGGGATGTTTTTGTCAACCATCGAAATAAATAGTAGACTAGAAACTAAAATTGAAAAAATCTTAGTCGAACAGTAAAAGCTAATTAGTTTACAAATGCGCATCAATACATTATAAATTCTCTCAAACACATGCATTTCATCACATATTAATCAGTAAAATCGACGTAAACAGCTTCACTGTAACAGTTCCGAAATACTGTCCTACATTCTACGATAAACAGGTAGATGCATGTACACGAGTACGCAGAAACAAATTGACCACTTATTTACCTCTCAACAACTACATTTATATTACTATTTATTCAAACACACAAATATTGTTACAAATGGCCACCAAAGTAGATGTGCGTTACACAGATAAGACAATAAGATTGTGAGGTAAAAGAAGGAGAGGAAGTATGACCAACTAAGTAAATGGCAGTAAAGGAGAATAAATTATGATAGGAGAGACGGATCAATTTAACAGATCACAATTAGAACGAATTCTTTTAGGTGACGAAGTTCCTCTCACATTTTGAAGTATAAAAGGAAATTACAGCAAGATCGCCACTGATTCCTGTTATGGCTCATATATGATAACGTATTAACACAAAGACGGCCCAGATTGACATAAACCACTTTGAGTTCTAATATTTGTAGATTTATCTCATCAGCCACACTACCACCAACGCCCGAACACCCCTAAAGGTTCACTACAAACAGTGAATGTGGGAACAGGGTTTTGCTAGTCTTCCAAAAGCACTTTGTATCTTAAAAGGCCCACACACATTCCATACCTAAGAACATTGATCGTCAACTGATTAGGTGCGATTTGAATAGTTGGGGTATCATCGTACCACCACATTTGTTTTAGGAGTTGTGATGCACGATAGTCGATAATGTTGATGAGACCTGGAAGGTTTTGTTTCAAACATAAGAAATAACAGTGTTCAGATGAAATTATACGGTTTTCCGTATCATTTAGGAATATTACTGTTGTCTAGCAATACATAAAAGGAACGGGGAATTCGGTGGAACTGGTTACTTAGGTTGTAATTGCGCGAGCATTTTGGATTGACAAAGAGACCAGTAGCTTGAACCCAATCAAAGTGTCTATTCCACAAATTTCGAGCATTCCTAAAAACACTCACAACCATGAGGAAGTAGGAATTCCCTTTCTATTCAACGTTGTTTGTAGAACATTCGTCGAAAGAATTCCGATTCAAGTCTTCAATTTGTATAAATTTCACTAACAAACTCATCACTTAATCCTTGTCTAGTGGTGATCACTTCGTCATCTTTCCATTCTTCGGTAACCACATTTATTTACTATTGCTGTGCTAACTGTACGGACAGAGTTGGAGCCAACGTCATCATCAGCTGTTTGGTAGTAATCTTCGTCAGATTTCGCAACATCACAGTTTAGTTCACAGTGGAGATCAGTTAACTAAACCTCAAAAGAGAGTTTGTTTGAGATTTTTGCCGTAAATATGGAATAATTATGTAATAAACATTCGGGTCAACATAAACAGGCATCACTTAACCACACACGGTATGTATAAACAAGGAGTTCGCTTTATAATCAAAGGAAAAACACTGGATATAACACATAATACAAACATAAACTCACATATTTCCCTTTGCATGAACGAAAAATGGATGTTCTCACCAAGCCTGGATGAACGCTGACCGAAATAATCCCATCTCCAGACCAACGTTTACAAATCTCACGTGCATGAATCACATTTAACAGCTTACTAATAGCATAACCAGAGCCTACACCTGACAAGAATCCGCTATTCGGGTGTAATTTAGCAAACCAATGTAACAAAGATGACAGAATGACTACACGACAAGGTTTCCCACCAGATGCATGCAAACACGGCTTTAATAATTTAGTGAGCAGAAAATGACCCAAATGATTCACTTTCAAGTGTTTCTCAATTCCAAGCTCATCGTAAATCTTCTCTGGAAAATCTGCCCCAGCATTATTAATTAAGATGGAAATTGATTTTTCTCTACTAATGATACGATTCGCAAACTCTCGAATAGATTTTGGCGACTCCAGATCTAACTCTTCACAAATAAGCTATTGAAAACGAGATAATAATTACAAGGTTTACTCATGGCTCAATAAAAATCTTTCAACAAACAACTTTAAACAACAAATAACATCGACTAAATAAAACCTAGGGAGTCACTGAAGATGGTAGTGGAGCGGTGAAATAGCGGTTTAAGCACTCGAATTACAGACAATACATAACAGGTTTGGATCCTGCTCCATCTAATTTCATCTGGACATGATAACCATGAGTAAATAAACATCACGTTAGTAAAACAATCACAATTAACATACTTGATCTGGTTCCAGATGAACACTCAATACTGATGGCTTCTCATTACAAGTTCTAGTCAGAAGCTCCTGTCGAGCCAATTCGCACTTCCTTAGATCTCTGCATGCCATTATAACGCGGGCCCCACGGCGAGCCAACTCATCCACCGTTTCTAATCCAATACCAGTATTGCATCCCGTAACAATAACTGTTCTCCCATCCAAACGATCTTCAAGAGTACACTCACAATGACCGAAGTATTTTCTCTTAATGATATACAATGTACTAACAGCAACAACAATCCACATGTATGGACAAAGGAAACATACAGAAACATAGGAGAACAACTGATCCATCCTCAAATTTGTTCTTAAAACTGAAACAGAAATTCTATTATCTAAATTCACTTTCAAACATGTAACGTAAACATAGTTTATACAGCAAACAGACGGGTTTCTAGAATACTTGGACTGATTGCTCGATTGTCGTGTCTATGTTAAATGATTCAAACTCCTAGATTGGTCCTCGTCAATTCAAGCCCCGTGTCACCTAGACGAGATATTTATCTGCCAGCTAAAGAACCAGCTTAACCCATAGCACTTCTTTGTGCTGCTTAATTGGTGTGAGACGTGGTCACCAAGAACAGAAGATATTTCTAGGTTACTAATAATTGACTACAGATGTCTTCGAAGCACCTATGATGTATTTTGGGATAACTGACTGAGAAATCGTGGGGTTATGTGTAGGCTACCAGGCAAGATGGTGAACCCATCGATGACGTAGTGGAATTTCACAGATTGAGTTGATTGCAACACACTTTACGTATACCTAGCTACCACCTACCTCGGTGAGTGATTTTATTTGACGCAAGAGTAGACTGAGAGAAAGCTAAGGCCCACTACAAGACGTAGCACACTTCTATGAAGTCATTGACAACCGGACTGAGTTATGTTGAAGGGTTTAGGATACTTGGTTGGAATCTATGCGATCACTTTGTTAATGCAGTATGGCGACTCGAACCGATGCACTGGCGTACCAGGTTTTGCGTCTCACAATACCGACTAACTGACAGCCCTATTTAAAGGAGGCAAAACTGTAGATGAACATTTATATATCCACCAACAATCGATCCACTAGACCTTAAACACATGATTCGAAAAGTAATCCAAACTCATACTCAAAAATATGCGATTTTCTTATCACATTGATGGGCTGGTTCGAATATGTTGAACTAGGCACTAGTTGATATAAGTTAATAAATAACTAAATGGACATATATAATCTGAAACATCAGATCAATCAACCCGACTAACTAAAAACATAAATTACTGAGTTGTATATCTGCCTGTTTCTGACAGTCTTCATATTATGTGTATTACGTTGGAGCCTCTGAAAATTCCTAGCTGATATTTAGGCCTGATGAACAACAGAAATCCATGTTGTCGAATGTCGAGAAACTGCCACTGAAACCTACTGATAAGCCTCGATCGCCTTTCGAAAGGTTTAAGATAAATAATTCCTGGTTCAAATAAACATCAGGAATCAAGCAAACAATAGAAATTTGACATGTGCTTCTAATAAAGTGTTGGAAGTGCATATTACAGACAAATGAGCCTCAACAGGCCAATCAATGCAGAGCTCAGTACAAATATGCATGTATATGCTCAAAATACAAAAGTCTCCATAGGATTTTAGTGTTGCAATGTTTCGTGTGTTTCACCAATCTGCAAATGACTAGCAGACAACCTACGCTCCTAAACTTCAAAAAAATAAAATCGAATTTTCTGAGTTTGTAAACTATTTCAATGTTTTCCGACAGATAATGTAGATCTGAGGCAAGGCTGCGACCATGTTGTGTGTGCGTTGTGTACTAAGTGAGCAGGCAGAGTAGTGTGAGTGGAGTCGTCTGCAAAGTAGAGAAACAGGAACGAAATGTGACTTGACGACCCAGCAAGCACACACAATGCACTTACTTTCAATAAGAACTCTAACGAACAATAATCAGTAAGAACACAAGCCTCAGATTAATACGATCTGGGAGTCGAAACTAGTAGCCGATAGTTTAAACTGTTACAGTGCACTTTACTTGATTCGGTTGGGCAGCGAGGTTGAATTACTGGTTCATAGAAAAAACAGCGTAGCTCAAAGCCTACTACGCAAACTTGCCAGTAACCTACATAGTTATTGAAAATATTAAATCCTACTAATCAATGCAACTCTAAAGAATTCCCGAACGGTTGGTTTTACATAGTTCTCTTAGTAGTTGGTGATATACACTGAAGAAATTATTAACATGAAGTGATACATTAAAAATGATTCTCGTTCACCTTATGACCATGTTTATATATAGCGACAATCACTAGTCAGACAAATGCAAAAGTATTTAACAACTCTTTGAGACAATATAGGAAACCTCACTCAGTAGGTGCTAGTCACCATTATTTGTCGGAATCACTTCCAATTATATGCCTAGAGGCCGTCTAAAAGGAAACAAAACAGCACACCAAGGCGGTATATATGCACATTTTATCCAAGAGAATAGAAAATATCAGAAGGCTCTTCATATTAGTCAACCAACCAAAACACCGTTCTATGTTTCCGGCTTATCTAACGTCACTAACATAGTTAATGTCAACAACGAGTGTAAAGTGAGTCGAAAATAAAGATACTCAACATTCAAACAAAGCTTAATTCGGAATATGGCATTGCGAACTGAATGACAGCATCGATTATAGGAAACCGGTGGGATACATCGCTGAAGTAATTCCGAATAAAACATGGACCGAAATGCGAGGGTGAACTCAAACCGAAACATGTAAAATGCTCACGATTCCTATCAAATTCGTTCCAGCCTCAACACACCTCTTGTACGCATTTTATGTTTGGTCCCTTAAAATTCCTAACTGAGCTAGACCAGCTAAAATTATCCCTGTTAGTACGTTAATTAACTGCACGAAAGTATATTAAAGCTTAAGCCTTGTAATTGTAACCCATGACTTTCAATTTACTTCGTATTTCGAAAGTATCGGATGGTAGCACGTCTGTGGAATGAAGTGCAAAATTTGGTGTAATTGTAATGAACTTACTGATAGAATTAGGATCTAGGCATAAGGCGTTTTATAGTTTCATAGGGCTAAGTGCTATTGTATAAGCGTTTAAGAGTTGGGATCTATGGTGTAGGAGTTTTGGGACAATAAGATAAGGTCTTAAAGATTGAGGGTTGAAAATTGGGTTTTAAAGAGTGTAAAGCCATACGCCTTGCTAGCATTGGTTGAAACAAATAAAGAGAGAATTGAAGCAATTCCCGGGGAATCAAGAGCTCTTATACGTATGCTACATTCTGACCGGCTACTTTTGAACAAAAGTCGTCAAGGTCGTCCAGGAAATCTTTCAAGGTCGTCGGTTTAGTGTAGTTTAACCCCTCCTGACGTCAGTGACTAGTGTGAGTTTATAGATATCGCACGACCTAAACTTCAAAATATCATAGTTTACGCGTACTAGAAACTACTCGTGTCTTCATGAATGTCACATAAGTTAAGACCTTGTTTCCACTACATGCTCCCACATGTTCTACCACTTAATTCGGAAAGGATTGCCAAAAATCAAGTTTTCTTGCCTCCTGCTAACAATATTCTCCTTCATCGATCACGAAACGTCCATGAACAATCACACACACACGATCATAAGTGATCCTAAAAGAATTTATTCAATGTTTTGTACAATACAAAGAGACATCGTGGCTGTTCAAGCGATTGGACTTGAAATGCGATCTATGGGTTTTAGTACTAACCATCTTTCAATGGTCGGTACGAAAAGATTAGTTTACGTAACGAATTTCATTTGTTGATGATTCGATGCAAAAGTCTTTAGTCAACTGACAAATGATTCGTTCTGTAGCATCGACGTGTCCATGGGCGTTGAATATTGGACGTGAGGTTTGAAAACCTTCGACAGATATCTCACAGCATTGTTCAGTGCTCTTCAAGTCTCGCCTAAACATGACTATCAGGTCATCCTGTGTCTGGATAGCATGTAGCTCGACGTCACTCACTGTGTGTGTATCAGTTCTTCTGTGACCAATATACAACATGATACACCTGGAATCATTTGTCGAAAGCTGCCAGATTCTAGACCACTCAAATTACTTCCGTATGTCATTTTGAAGCTCAACACTGTGCTCACCATTTCTTACCGCCCTCCACACCTTGATCTCGTCTGCAGATAACAAAACTAATGATTTCAGGACACATGGAAAGTCATTTGCGTGCAGAAGAAAAGCACTAGTTCGAAGGTTGTACCCCACAACACTGCAATGAGCACAGTTCCCCAGCTAGATCACTTGGACTTGACCCGCACTCTTTATTGACGTCTAACTAAAAAATTCTTCACCTAGTAAGTAGGTCGCTCCCAATGCCTGTGTCACGTAACCTCATCAATAGTCTAACTGAAATCGATGAAGGCTGGATCCCGAGATGGCTTCTGGATTTTTAATGGCACAGCAACTTTCACGAGCTATCAATAAAGCAGTGAGACATGAATGACCTGTCTTAGAACTATGCTACATTTTCGGAAAGAACCAGATCCTCGTAGAAATACTCAGACAACTTGTGAATCATTTCTTATCGCTCCTTAGCAATCACTTTGGTTGAACTTGCGGGCCGATAGTTCATATGATTTTGTCTCGCACGTATTTTGAATACGAGACATAATATGACATTCTTCAATTTGTTTGGTAGTCTACTTTGTATTACTGACACATTACAGTACATACCTGATAAATTTTCGATAACGCTAGCGAGTTCATGTTGGGATCTAGGATGATGGTCATCGTATCCCATGAACTTACATATAATAAATTTATTTAATGAAGCAAAGAAAGAGAATTTGGATAGGGAGGGTTGTCTGGATCCGGAGGAGGAGCTTCTGTGCAGTAGATATATTGCTAAACAATTCAGCGAGTACTTGAACCAAATAGTAGTCGTGTTTCAATGGTAATGGAGTACTACAACCTTCACATAATTCTGGGATACTATATCCACTCTTAATCTTTTCGTTTTTCACGAATATTAGGATCTGTAGTATTCTAAAAATTCATTAACTAGCTCTTCTTCACACAATCTTCTGGACTTGCTTTTGATTAAAGCATAAATATTTTGGGCATCCGGATGCCGAGTTTTTGTTTCCTCAGTGCCCAGTAACCTCAATCACTCATATATCAATTTTCCTTTGAGGAATGAGGAACGAAGCACCTTGCTTTCATGAAATATGTTATCGATATTGGTAGAGGTGATATCACTTTTAAAATATGAAGCTACTAATCCTCCTCTATGCTTCTGGCCTCTGTACCTGCTATCAG